CCGCAGTGCTCACAGCCATGTGGGCGGGCAGGTGCCTGTCTGTTCTGTCACACACCCAGCTGCGGGGTTGACCAGTACCACCCCCTGCACCCAGCCCGAAGCGGCCATTGTCACTGGGCTTCGACCTTGGAAGCCCAGGCAGCCCAGGCTGGTGTGGACTTGGGCCGGGGCTCACCCTGCTGCTGGGGGTGAAGGGGGTGTCGGGGCCTGCCAGCTCACTGGGTGGCCTTGGGAAGCGGAGGGGCTCTGCTCAGTGGAAGCGCTCCCCTGGAGTGTGGCCGGAAGCTCTCAGGCAGGCAGGGACGTGCAAGGACCTGAAGGGCACCTGGCCGGGCCATCTCTGGGGCTGTTCTCTCGGTCCTTGTCCTCCGTGGGGCCACACTGTGCGGGCCTTTTCCCTCCGGGAGCCAGGCTGAGGCTGCACCTGGACGTCCTTTCAGGCACTCCTGTTGCTATCCCGTCCTATGCAGATGGACTGGACAGCCTGAGGGCTGGGCAGGGGCCTCACTGTCTGGGTACATAAGCTAAGGCCGACCCCACAAGGAGGGGAGGCTCCAGGTCAGTCGGGAGCATGTGGGGACCCTGACTGGGCCACAGGTGGTGCCACAGTCCCAGTGACAGCTGCCCTGTCCGGGAAACCAGGCCCTGGGGACCAGCACAGGCCGAGGTGCTGGCAGGACAGACCGCTGGCCTAGGGCTTCGGTGGCGTCACAGACAGTGAAGAGTAAGAAGCGTCGGTGTCGGGCCGGGGACCAGGGAAACCAGCTTTCTACGCTGACAGAGGGGGAGCCGTGAGTCCCCAGTGTCGCGTCGCACTCCGTGCGAGTCCATCGTGACCCACAAACGGGCAGGTCCATCGGAGCCCAGCTCCTCCTGCCAGGCCCTCGCTAGGCTGGCCCCCGCGACCTTGAGCTCTGTGACCCACAGCCCAGCTCTAGCGCGAGTCAGACGCTAAGGGGCTGGGGCGTCCACGGTGGAGGCGAGGCAGACCTGTGACTCCGGCCCCCCCTTGGGGGGGTGACACAGCCCGCAGCCATGGTGCCTGTGCAAGGCCACTGTGGGACCGGCCAGGCACTGTCTGCACCTACTTGCCAAGCAACAGCCCAGATGAGGCACTGCTCCGGGGATGCGCGGGTGCCTGTCAGCCCACCTGCCCGTCCCGCCGCCTGTGCCAGGCAGCTGCCC